ATATTCCAGTTTTGTAACAACCAAGCATTAAAACAAACCATAGACATACATTTTTAAAAGTAGCAGAAAATCTACAAAGTATTAACATATGCTATCCACGTAATGGAATGATGAATAATTTCTTCTTTACTTAAAATGTTTTCTGTTCCATCAATATTTTTTTCTTTTTTTAAAGATTTATTTATTATGCATGCAAGAACTGTGGTGTAGGCCAGTGGTGTGGGATGTGAATGAAAAGATTCACCAGAGACAGAGAGGGGAATAGAACAAGTGGATTGACTGAAATACACTACAGAGGGGAGCATCAGGAAAGACAGGAAAGGTCTGCTGCACCATGTGGGGCTGGGGAATCTAACCTGTGCTGCAGTGGCTGGTGATAGTGCGATACTGCTGCCTCTAACCCCTGCACCACCAGAGAGGCCCCTCCTTCACAAATTTTCTAAAATTAAATAAGGCATGTTGCTTTTTTAACAAGAAAGGAAAAGATGGCTCACATCTTTAAATCACAAAGAAAACAGAATTCTCAAAGCTGCATTTGTTTGTGCTCTGTGCAATCAGCAGAGACAGAGACTTAGACTTAACGCAGGCCTTCTGTTCTGTCCCATCTCAGTTGTTTGCAGAGCATTGATGTAGTGGCTGATGTCAATTCTGAGGGTTTGGCCATGATGAGGGAGTGTCTGGCACCCTCCAGTACCCCTGGGTTCCTTAGATAGTCAAGCAGGAGTGATACTGTCAGAGATCCTATTTTTTGAGTACCAACCAGACACTCATTCTAGAATCAGTCCACTCATTCTTTGAAATAGAAGTGGTTGTAGACTGATAACTGACTTTAGGGGTTTGTGTTAAGTTCAAATCTTTTCTTCAGATTTCTATGTAAAACCACACTGGGAAGGATTAGCGTCATCACTTATGGGAGCAGGGCAGGGAGCGATACTCACTTGTCCACTTCCTTCTGCCTCCCCTTTCCTCGAAGCAGCTTCCTGCCCCTGGGTTGCAACTCCGATGTGCACACCCACACTTTCAGCAATAGAGGAGGAGCAGTAACCTGTTTCTTTACTTCTGCGGTTTGACCTCTGTGGCTCCCTTTTCACTGTGAGGCATAGTCATCATCTTCTCCTCTGAGAAGTCCCCTAGGGTCAGTTTCTCACCCCATTTGACCACAGCGGGGCCTCTCCAGAATTCCCACAATTCCCTCAGGATCGGCAGACAGGCCTGGAGTAATGGTTCTCCTAACCATCCCCAACCACTCTGGTCAGGACCATCAGTGAGCCGGAGAGGAGTCAGGGTTACCCCAAGCAAGACCAGGCAGTCAGAAGAGTATGTATCCTGCCCATGACCTTTCTGTTCTTTGGCCATTTATAACCCCCTCTGAGCAGGATTTCAAGAACCAACTGAAAAGAGATGTGATGGCAAAAAAGGCTTTAACCATTGTGTCCCTTTGGAATACTTGCATTTTGAAGCTAGTGGTCCTAGTTACTAAAGATGACATTTCAAGCTGCTGGTGTCAAATTCGGGAGATGTTGGGCAGCAATGATGTTGAAAATAATCCTACTCCAGCTCTGAAATCAGTTCAGATTTAGTGAGCACCTACTATGTGCAAGGCATGGTACAGAGTGAAAAAGGACCTTCATGGACCTTCAGGTTAGTGCTGGACACAGCAATGTGTTATTATACAAAATAATGACACTGGCTTTCTTTCTTTGGAGGCTTATGAAAACTGATTCCATTTTATTTGAGTGGCACTTGAATTTTGCTCAGTGCTCTTGACATTTTCAAAACCTACCTGGTGATACATAATCTAGAGGCATGCTGTTTATGCTATCTTTACCTAGTCCTTAGAGCACAAGTTGACTAGAATTAGTTGGTGTCGAACACAATTTAATTTTTTAGCAAACAATGAAATAATAATTTTGGGTTCCAGACATTGTCTGCTAAAGACACTGTTTGGTTTTTTTTTTTTTTTTTTGGACTTTCTCAGCATCGTTTATTTTGGTAACAGCAGCCTGATTTCACCTTGAGGTACCCTTAATTCCTATTCACAGTCCTTATAGGCTGAATAGAATGAACTCACTGAGTCCCAAGCTCCCGGAGAGGGCAAGTCACTGTAGCCTGGTCTGTGGGGTCGCTGCATCTCCTCAGTGGTAACAAGTTCAAGGAAGGTCACATGACCCATACAGTACCTATAGAAATCTGCAGGTATTTTTCCTAATTTTTGAAAGAGAGTGACTCTGTCGAGGTTGGAAAAACCTGCTTGAGAATGTGTCCAACACAGGGAAAAGCATAAGAAAGATTTCTGACCTTGCTTGAGTGAATGCATTTAGGACTACCCATGGAGTTATCATTTATATTATACAGGATTTAGATAAACAGAGAAAGAGAGGGAGAGAAATTCATAGATACAGTTCTATTTTTCACCATCCAATTGGACTTTGGTTCCTTTCATTAGCAGCTCAAGGCCCTCATCACTCATCTGTTAGCCTCCCAAGAGTCCCTAATCAAAAGAAGATGGTGGACCGTGCCCTATCCACTCATTTTCCTTCATTTTACTCATATTTATTGAGTGTCCAGTGAGCTAGTTGGTGAACTCACCTTTGTTTGGGGAGAGTGGGTAAAGAGAGTGGAGTCTGAGGCCCCACAGTTTTTCCTGGTCATCTGGTCACCTAGATCAGCAGGCAGCTGGATCAGCATCACAGTCCCCTTTCCCACAGTGGCATGCCCCTTCTAAGCACCCAGAATGTTTTCTGACTTCCTCTCTCGTGCAAGGGCAAGCACAGTTTAAAATTCCAGTCAGACTGTGAAGGTGTCAGTTCTGTCTGCTTTTTAACCTGGTCACTGTGAAGAATCAGTGTTTTCTCTCAAGCCTTTTAGAGAAGCAGAAAGAAGCAAAGTGTCCCCAGTATGGTGATAACTATGCTACTTACAGCACAACAGATGTCTTGGGCCTGATTTTGAAACCCTAGTGTCAACCATGCCATTGCAACATAGAATTGCAATGACTTTGGGAATTGAGTTAGAGACAGCCTGGCTAGAGTTTGAGGCCGCAGGGAGCAGAGAAGGCCTCTTGCACCTTGCAAATTCTTGCCAAGGCTGATAACAGCCCCTGGGAATGAAGCCTTTGTTTTTTCACTAAATAAATCACTTACTGTGAATAAGAGGGACCAGTGGAAATAGCAAGGTATTTGCTATTGTGAAATATCTTCCTATTTCACACCTCAAGCTTGCTCTTTCAGTGTCACCTTCTTTTTATTCTTTGTTATTCTCTTTTTTATTTATTTTATTGTTCCTTCTTACCTGCTGTTATAAGATAGAGAGTCTCCAGAAGAAAAATAACATTTTATTTTCACATTTTCCTATGATGTGATCCCATACTTTCTGTTCCATTCCTTTTTCAAGTAAGGAAAAATGTCAGATTTCCCCTTTTTATCACACATACTCACAATCATGAACATATTCACAAAGTTTTGGACTGGATATATGTGTGAACATATATAGGTGTGAGTATATAATTCATCCAAAAATACATATAGATAACTGTCCATCTATAGAGATATATGCATTGATTGTCTCTTGATAGAGATAATAGATGATAGATAAATGATAAATGTATTTTGTATAACAGTGATACACACACACACACACACACACATCTCCCAAATGCTGCTAAAAACACAAAGCTTATCATAGAATCATTTTCAACTAGCTTACAAGTCTTAGAAGATGCATTCTATTTAAAAATAGTTTTCAAAAAATATATCCCAAATCTATCCTATCCAGAGGCTAGGAAAACTGTAAATGGGATGAGAAAATTGAGGTACCAGTGGTTCAATTAGGCCTTCTGTCTGGATGACTTTTCAGAATCAGGTGGGGTGTGGTCTAGCAAATCTTCAGAAAAGCAACTGCTTAATTCCCCAAATCAGGGCATTCAAATACTGAAATACTCAAAGCTAAACAAGGACCCACCCTAAAGATGAGATGTTTATTTGGGTTAACATCCCTCAGCATGAAGGCAAGTGAGGGGAGAGGAACTAAAACAGGGGATACAGTGTCAGCTCCCCAGTTCCTTGCAAAGTCTTCTGCAGGCTCCATTCAAGTCAATGACCCCCAGTGAGAGGCGCTTGGAAGGGCAGGCAGCCCATGCCCTGAGTTGGGAAAGCTTCAATTCAAGAGCAGATTCCCTGGGAAGCAGGGACAGGTGTTGTTACTGTGGAGATAGCACACCATGTTGTCTCAAACATCTCCTTCCTGGGAAATATTGAATTCATGCTCCAAGGTCACCTGACGTGTGAACTTGACTTTCATGGGGATAAATCAGGGAGTAGAGATGCAGAGTCCTTCAGAGATACTTTCTGCCTCTCCAAGGAATACCTCCTACCTCCTCAAAGGTGGAAAAGGGGTGAGGTCAGTGTTCACTCCTGGGGTATCATCACCTAGAAAAACATGGGACAAAAAACCCCTCTTATGCTAGACCATATTTTTTTTTTATGTTCTAATCATTATCGCTTCTAGGTCAATATTTTAAAGTGGGTTGACCAGTTGAAATGTGAGTCAATCTGTAAGGTTGTCTTCAGGAGTTTGGATACAATTCAAGGTCTTTGTAATTGAGAGCATTTATATTTTCAGCAGTATGATTTCTGTTTGTTTCTGGCTACCTCAAACTAGTTTTACTTATATCTGAGAACCATAAAAACTTTAACACGTAAAAAGGCTATCATGTTAGATGAAATCTGACGGTAAATCAGAGTCCAGTTCCTTCCGAGATCAGTGCAGAGATGGATGGTATGGACAGTGCCCAGGGCCCATAGGCTGACAAGTAAACCTGGGAAGTTGTCATTACAGTAGATTGTTTAGAGGAAGTCCAATGAGTGACACAAACTTGAGCTGATGAAAGTCCACTGTCTTCTGACGCAAGCTCCATCTACAATGGTGTTGCGGCCAGGAAACCATTCTTGAGGCAGACTCCAGTTTTGCCAACCACTCTGTTCTGCCAGGGTTTCTTTTGCTGCTGCTACTATTGCTGCTGCTACTTCCAAAGAGATACTTATAGCAGCTTCATCACTAGACACGATGAACTCTTCACATTATAGTGTCCTGGGGAGTATCCTGTCAACAGAGAAGAAAGAATAAATTAGGAAGAGGTTGGGGGGACCCAATACTCAGCGTGTCTCCTTGGGGGTGCTGGATCAGGCAGTAACAGTCATGCCTGTTATCACTGGTATTGTTGTTGGTTATATTATACCAATAGTGAGGCCACATGCCTGACTTTGCCTTTTACATACCTCAACTCATTTCTTTCATGAAAATTATACGAGGTCACTACTCCGACTAGCTGTCTTATAGGCCATGCACAACGAGGTTAGCTGACTTCCCCCGAGGATTTAAACTCAAGACCGGAGCTCAGCTGCCAGGGGACACTGACCGTTCCCTATATCTGGCTTCCCACGTGCCCCCTACCCTCATCTCTTTCCTACTCACTCACTTCCCACTTACTTTCATCTTCCTGAAACATTTCTCAAGAATCTCTAGCAGCATAAAAAATGGAAAAAGAAGAGAAAGAAGCAAAAATAGAACGAAGTTGGCCCTCCCTGGTGGCGCAGCGGGTTAAAGCGCAGCACTGAGAATCTAAAGCCGCTTCCGCCTGAGTTCGATTCCCGCCTGCCCCGGAGGTGACCACATGGCGTGGCAGACCTCTCCTGGCCCGCCCGCTGCTCCCCTCAGCAGTGTACTTCGTCGATCTGCCTGTTCTGTTCCCCACTCTGTCTCTGGTGAAGCCTCTCACCACCCCTGAGCCTCTGGCCTGTACCCCAGTTCTGTATGCACAAATAAGTAAATCTTTAAAAAAAAAAAAATAGAGCGAAGTTGGAGTAAAAAATAGGAAACAGTTCTTTATTCAACACTCATTCAAAAAATGTGACTTACAGTTTCCATGCTAGGAGCTGCACCAGCCTCTCCCTGTCACTTCTCTGAGAAATGGACACATCTATGAGTGTACCCACAGTCTAAGGTGTGGGTAATGATTAGTCTGAGCAGGAGGAGCATGTGGGGAAGAGGTGGTTGGGGGAAGGCCGTTTGTCATTAGCAATCAGTGAAGTTTTTGGGGGACAAAGTAGCAGTGAGAGGATTTTCAGAGTCCTGTGGGTGCTGGGTCCTAGTTGGCCAAGAGCAATCTCAGTTTTGGGTTCAGGCATATCCCTCAGAAGGGACTGAAGAAGCTGTGAGACATGATTTCTATTATGGAATGGGTGGGCACAGGTGAGGCTGGGGACACTGACAAGTCCAGCATACAAGAGTGTGAGCTCAACTTTCTGTGGACAGCATCAAAGGGTTTTGGGTAGGAAGGCAGACAACTGAGTGTCATACAGGAAGATGAATCTGGTGCTAATGCAGAGGGTGGGTCTGGAATCAGGAATCCCATTAGAGGTGAGCTGGTGTGGAGACTGAAAAGACAGGGTAGCATTGAGAACATGGCAGTGGTGATGGAGAAAGTGAAAAGCCCTATGTGGGCAGTTTCATAAGACCCTGTGTCTGCTTAGGTGTGCAGCGCTGGACATACAAAAAGAGTGTGAGCTCAACTTCCGGTGGACTGGATCAGAGTTTCGGGTAGGAAGGCAGACAACTGAATGCCTCTACAGGAAGATGAGTTTGGTGTCTTTTTAGCAGAAATAATAGGACATGTCTCATTAGCATAAGTGAAGTTTTAGTTTTCGTTGAATATAAGTGAAGAAACAGACCACGTAGGACAAGTTTGGGAATGGGGAAGGCTGAGCCTGGGAGCTGGCTGGGCACCTCTCCCCCGTGGGGTCAATGAGCATGTGATTAGAACCAAGCTTGTGCTGCCTCGGGTTAGGAGTGGTCTGTAGGTGAGGTGAGGGCTAAGTTTAGGATACAAAAGCCTGGGAATAGGAGCAGATGAAATGCCAAGTTCAGACGTGAGAACTCTTTTTTCAGAGACAGCGAACGTTGGGGGTGGGCAGCCTAGGCTGACAGAGGTGAAGGGAAGGTGGTTTTAGGGCTGGCTGCCACCTTGTGGCAGAGTTGAGGACAAGGGCTGAGGCCTGCGCAGCCAATGATCATTGAGATTCAATAAGAGGGAGGCAGAGAAGATGGGAGGCCGGAGGAGAGGGAGAGCAGTATTGAGGATATTTTCTTGAGGGATAGAAAGATCAGAAGTTTGTAGGTAAAAGGGCATGAACTGGTGAGAAGCTAGAAAACCAGAAGAATAAGTTATGGGAACATTTTAGTCTAACCTCTCACTTACAATGCTCACACACACCACATGTGTCCTATAAAAATTTCCAGAAAATGGTAGTAGGGGGAAGCCAGAGCTAGCAGACAAGAGGAGCTGTCAAGGAGAAGAACATCTCCTCGGATTCTGGGAATCGGAGACATTCAAGAGTCTGAGGAAGAGGGGAGTGGTCAGATGGCTGGACTTCCTGTGAGTCAAGTAGAGGGTGAGGCCATTGGCAGAGGTAAGAGGATGAGACTGGGTGTGAGTTTGTGGGTGCAAACAGGAGGACGGAGATGCAGTGAAAGGGTTTTTCAGGCAGCAGTGAAGATGGATACTGCCCATTTGAGGGGGACAAGCGTTGATATTGGATCAGGCAACATGGTTCTGTGAATTCCACCAAGAACCCTCACATATCTCAAGAAGAGAAGTATGTGTGGGAGTGATTAACAGGGAGAGACAAAACACCAGTGGTGAGAGGGAGTTTAAGACAGAAGCATAGCACTTAGGGGTCAGTCTCAGCAGTTGTGAGGCTAAGAGAGAGGAGTGTGCGCTGAGAGAAGTGAGAAAGCCTCAGAGTCAAGAACTGAGTTCTTGGGATATGTCTAGTTATCTGGAGGGACAAGAAAGAAGAGGTCAAAGCAAAGACTCAGAGGCAGGGAAGACTTGGGAGAAAGTAATATATCATCAGTGAGGGAGGAAAGAATTTCAAATCAGATGTTGAGAAATCCAGGAGAAGGATCTGGAAACGCACTTGAGCTAGGCTACTAGAAAGTCACCACTTACTCTCAGCACTTAACTACAAAGTCTTGGATGCGATGTCAAAACACCTCCATCTTTGTTTGGAGGGTTGGTCTGTGGTATACCTGAGTGCCTATGTACTTTGTGCCGGACACAAAATGAGTGTTTGAGAAACCTTTCTTCCATTTCGTCCGAGTTGGAGCCTATTCAGGGCCCTCTCTGGGGTGACATTCCCTATAAACAGAACCCTAAGAGCTGTGCTTTGGTATGTCCAGCCTGCCCCCTGGTTGAAATTCCCAGGATGGCTCCTTCCTGAAGCAAGAAATGTTAAAATACTTAACCAGGAGGACACAGCAGGGCGTTCATCCTTTATATGTGTGGCCAAGACACACTCTGCTTTCTATAATGCACCCCAAGCTCCTACCACTCTTGCGCAATGGACTGTTAAACAAAGGTTCATGCTGCCCCTTTTCTCTCTGACACCCTGCAGCTCTGAGAAGAGCCCAGGACCCTGCTCTTTAGTTTGTGACCTCAGTCACCTTGCACAGACCTAGAAGCCTGCAGAACTCCAAGTCAGGAGAAGCAGAGCAAGCAGAAGCCACACCTCCTCTCCTCGTCCCTTTGTCCCCTCACCCTCAGCAACAGCCTGTCTCTCTAGGCCTGGGAGGCAGGAGCTGGCGCTGCTGCCGCTGCACATTGAGCTGGACTGTGAGAGAACTGGGGAAGTGACAGAGGCAGCCACTGGCCTGGTCTTGCCCTTCTGGATCAAGCCAGGACACCTACCTGTGTCTCGGGGACCTTGCTGTTGTGCTGTGGCTGGGCGTGGCTGGCCCCAGGGCCACAGCTTGGTTCCAGTGCCTCGGCCTCCTCTTGCTTTTCCTTGCCTGGCCCCTGCTCAGGGATGTGACTGTCCTCTGCTTCTCCAGGGGGAGTCTGGGGGGCGTCCTCCCTGGCAGCGTCCTTCTCTTGGTTCTTTTGTGCTGGTGCCTTCTCTTCTTCATTTTCCACACACCCCTCCTTCCCCCCTGTAGCCTTCTCCATCTGTTCTCCAGCCGGGTTTCCCTCTGTGGGGCACCCACACTCATTCTCTTCTGGTCTCCGACTGGCCTCCTGTCTGGAATCCCCCACGACCTTCTGGGGATGCTGAGCTTTCTCCATGGCTGTGGCCTTCTCCTCTGGCTTCTCCGTCCTGCTGGGTGTCCTCCCTAATTTCCTCCTTGTTTCCTGCTCAGCAGCCCCCTCACTGGGTGGAGGGGACCCTGGGGAATTGCCCTTGGACAGGAACACTTCATCCCCATTCTCTTCCTTGGCCCCATTCTCCTGGGATGGCTCAGGGGCTCTGAAATCTCCCAGGTCCCCGTAGTCTGACTGAGACCTACGGAATCGCCTGGAGGGAGGGCGCCTTTTTATGGAGCCTCTGGTCCGCACCTGGAAGGTGTTAAGGAGAATTATAAAAAGTTGTGGGGAGTTGGGGGTTAAGACTGCTGCAAGGAGAACTATATATTTTCTCGGTGCCAGTCAAAGGACTGCTTCCTAAGCTCACCCAGGAACATCTGATTTTCTAGAATGTACTGTTGTTTGCCAGCAGTTATAGGTTAGAGCCCTGTGAGATTGTGACTTACAAGGTAACCTGTAGATTTCTCACTTGGAGAGATGAAAATGTTTTCCATCCAGTGGAGGTTGGGAGGTGGGCAGGGAGGAAGCACCTATGATTTTATTGCTCTGTAAAGCCTTAATCAATTTGGGGCCTAACTTAGAATTTTTTAAAAAAGATTTATTTTTACTTATGCCTACAAGAACTGGGGTCTAGGTCAGAGGTGTGGGAGGCAAGAGGATTCATCACAGATAAAGTGGGGAGCAGAACAGGCAGTTCTACTAAAATACACTGTGAAGGGAGCAGCAGATGATACAGGAGAGGTCTGCTGGGCTGTGTGGGTCATGTCTGGGGTGGGGATGGAACTCATGTTGCAGTGGCTGGCTCTAGCTTGATAGTGCTGAGGCTTTAACCTTTGTGCTACCAGGGAGGCCCCAACTTAGAAATTTTATTCTAACATTTTAAAATTAGCCTATAAATAACCAGTTCTTTGAATGCTCTTTTAAAGGACTTTGCCATATTACAAGTTTCTTCACAAGTGGATAAGTCATGTTTTTTTTTTAAAGATTTATTTATTTATGCATACAGAACTGGGGTACAGGCCAGAGGCTCAGGGGCTGTGAGAGGCTTCACCAGAGACAGAGTGGGGTACAGAACAGGCAGATAGAAGAAGTACACTGCTGAGGGGAGCAGCGGGCGGGCCAGGAGAGGTCTGCCACGCACCCAATGTGGTCACCTCCGGGGCAGGCGGGAATCGAACTCAGGCGGAAGCGGCTTTAGATTCTCAGTGCTGTGCTTTAACCCACTGCGCCACCAGGGAGGGCCGGATAAGTCATGTTTTAACTCTTAAAAACACAATTTGACAAAGGGGAGCCACCAGGGGAGAGAGCAAGGGGCCCGCGGGTGGCCCTGGCCCTGGCGCAGGGACCTCATGGCTGCAGAGTGGGACACTTGGTGACCATCTCCTCCCCTTCACCTGGGGGGGCCTCCCCTCCTCCGCTAATCCGAGAAGGGTGACTGAGGAGCCAGTGTCTTGGATTTCCAGGAGCCAGGTCCAGGCTCATCAGCTGTGCTCCAGCGCACCGAGCAGTTTCCTGGAAACCCTGTCCTCTCCCTGAGTGTGTCTCAGGACCAGGCCTCGTCTCAGCCCATCAGACTTGGTGAGATGCTTAAGGGCCGCATTTCTATGAACTGCCTTATGAAGAACATAATTTAAAAATGCACATATAGGGCCCTCCCTGGTGGCGCAACAGGCTAGCTGCAGCCGCTTCATGTGAGTTTGATCCCTGCCTTCCCCGGACCTGACCCACATGGCGCCGCAGACCTCTCCTGGCCCGCCCACTGCTCCCCTCAGCAGTGTACTTCATTGATCTGCGTGTTCCGCTCCCCACTCTGTCTCTGGTGAATCCTTTCGCTGCCATGGCACCTCTGGCCTATACCCCAGCTCAGTATGCGTAAATAAATAAATCTTTAAAAAAATGTACATATGAATTAAATCTCATTTTCTTAAATCTTTTTCTCCCGCTGACTTACATTTTGGTATTGGTCAGGCCTAGTCCTGTTTCAGAGGCTGGAATAAGGATGGCCTGCAAGAGCTGTCCAGGTCCTTTCCTGAGACCACAGTGAGGACAGCCCCACAGGTTAGCTAGGCTCCAGCCCTGTTGGTCAACACGGTTCAGAAGCTATCTGGCCTCTCCCTTGATGCCCCCAGTACTGTGGGCAAGTGGCTGTGCTTCCCTCTGCCCCTGTACCCTATCTTCATCCTGTGCTGAGACAGAGCTCTCCCTGGTCTCCTCCCTGACTGTCACCTGGGCTGAGTGGTCCCCACTTGTGCCCCAGTTATCTGGCTCATTCCTGCCTCCCCATCTCCTCCATCACTGTGTTCCCCGACCCTGGCCTGTTTCTACATCTATGACCTTTTTTTCACAGATGGATTTCCTGGATTGTCCCAGAAAATTCTACCCTCCTCCCTCCATCACTCCAGAATCATATCCAGCTACCACTCCTGGCATCAGACACAAAAATTCTTGGTTCATGCATGGCTCTGGCCCAGGTTTGCTGGGTACCAGCTTGACTTTGACTAATGCTTATCTCCTGGTAGGGCCAGGGGTCAGTAAAACAGGCACAGCAGGGCTCTCTCTGGTGGCTCAACAGGTTAAAGCACTGCATTATGAAGCTCTCTGAAGCCACTGCAGCATGAGTTTGATCCCTGGCCAGGGAGGTGACCCACATGGCGTGGCAGACCTTGACTAATCCACCCGCTGCTCCCCTCAGCAGTGTATTTCAATAGATCTGCCTATTCTGCTCCCCACTCTGTCTCTGGTGAATCCTCTCACCCACCACACCTCTGGCCTGTACCCCAGTTCTGTAAGCATAAATAAATAAATCTTAAAAAAAAAAAAAAGGCACGGTATCAGGACAGCATCTCCAGAAACCAGCATGATCATTCATCATTTTTGCAAAGGGAACAGTTTGTATGTTCTTTAATTGGAGCAGACTACAGTAAGAACGACTTGAGCCCATACTGGCACACTGTAAGTGTCCTATCTGGCCAGGTCAGGATGCGTTGGGACCCTGGTGGTCTGCCTACCCCTCTGGGTGGATTGCTGATCAGATCTTCAGTTTCTGTTTTCCTCTTCTGAGGCAACTCTCTCTGCAGCTGGGCTCAGCCCTAGGTTCTACTCTGCATAAAGAATAGAGCACTCTCCACCCTCAAGCCTGCCTTTGGGTGAGTGGTGTACTATAGGGTGAGGCATGAGACAGGCAGGCTAGACGGAAAGATGATCTCATTCAGGGATCACTTGCTGAAGAGAGGAGAGTTCCTGCTATTAAAACCTGGCTCTGATCATAGCTCAATCACCACCTTCCTCCAGGACACCAGGCTCCAGGTCATTCAGGATCACCCAGGGCCCCACATGTCCACAGACAGTGTAGTGCTTTGGTCCAGACGCTACCTTATTGTAACAAGGCAGGTGACTGCCCTCGGGTGGCTGGTCGAAGCTGACAGGCACCTCCTCTGACTCGCTGGCCCGAGACTGCACTCCAGGGCTGCTGGGTGTGGAAGGTGGGCTGTGAAATGGGGACACCATGGCCTTGAGTCCAGGGCTCTTGGGGGAGGCCCCAGGTAGCAGGGTCCCTGGATTGAAAACTAAGTTGGCCTGTTGAGAGAAGATGAGACATTTCAAATAGGAGCGGTGTGAAGAGATGCGCTCCTGAGCTTCTGTATAGCTTGTTGAGTGCCAGGCCTCAGAACTGGTTGCGACCAGGTAACACGTGGCTTTTCGTGTTACTTCCCAATCAGGTAAACTTGTCACGCCATGCCCTGCTCCTGGAAGCATTACCTGTTCAAATGCCTCTCCTGCTCCTGGTTTACACAGGCTGTATTCTGGGATGCCCAGAAGCTACTGATTTAGTACAACAAAATGCCCTGGAATGGCCCCAAGTTATAGACAAAGAGGCTGTAACAGCAACCGAGAGCATCTGCAGCCACTAGGATTAGGGGCAGTGCTGTGAGTCAGCCCTGTTTATCACCTTTGTCCTGGATGCCTGCTGTTTGCTGGGCACATGGAATTTTCTGGCCCACAAAAACCCTACCTGTTCAGTTTTGTTTTTGTTGCCCAAACCAGGACCGTGGCTAAGGAACTTGACTGGTATTCCAGCCAGGTCTGTTTGTCCCCTTAGTGGATGCTAGAGTGGGACACACAGCCCTATCAGTGCAAAGCTAGTGGATCCCGTGTGTGAGCACGCGTGGGGCCTTGCAGTGGCGCTGAAAGAGAATGCAAATGAAGCCTGAGGACAAGCAGCAGCAGGCGAGCAAAGAGAACTGCGGACACGGAGTAGGAGGCGGTGTCCCAGATTCACCTCATTGGCCCCCAGAACGTAATGCTGCTGGCCAGGTGGTAACGGAGGGATAGTCGGCCACACCCGACTGCTCTTTAGCGCCACCTCGCGGCTCCACCCCCGCTGCGCAGCCCTCGCAATTTCAAATTGGGAAATCCGCTCTGAGAGTTTGGAATGAAATGGATCTTAAGTAGTCCGGAGAAAACCGGAAGTTTGAATGGTAGATTACTAGAGTGCAGAAAAAAAATACAGTTCCTAACTCGTCCTGTAGAATATTTAGAAGGAAAACCTACCGGATGATGCATTTCTTAGTTCTTTCCCCACATATTCCGGCAATGGAAGACGCCTAAGGATTTTGGCAAGTTATCACACTATTGCCAGCATGCAATATGAATGAGACCAAGCAGTAGAGTTCAAAACTCACTGTCAGGTTGCTGGGTTTCCCGGAGAGGAAAGGAGAATGAGGCTAAGGCCGCGGGGTTCAGAACGTGTGGGAACTAATTTCACACTTGGCTAGGGCTGCAGGGAGGCGGAGGTCCCAGTTCTGGGCTACACCCTCAGGCTGAGGGCAGGAGGGGTGTGGAGCTTTGAGATGCCTCTGAGATCCCGGTTATGTGCGCAGGGGCCTTGGGCGCTGCTAGTGTCAGGGGATAGCAGCAGGATGGAGCCAGGGCCTCTCAGTAAGCATTAAACTTCTTCCCGGCACTCCCCAGGGTAGACTCACACTTGGTAAACCAGATTCGCTTACACTGACCCACCTCAGGCTGGGGGCCAAATCCCTACACACTCCCATCGCTGCGAGGCAATGAAGGCTGTGGTTAGCAGGCTGAGACATCCTTAACCGGAGTCCATGAGCCAGTTCTGGGCCCAGATGGGAGGAGACGCCACACAGAACTTAATGAGCTCCTCGTAGCTGCAGGGATTGCAGCGAAGCCTGGCGCACCTTTCACAAGCACCCAGATGTATTGGTCTGCCCCTCCTCTGTGCTTCAGCTCATACTGTCCCCACTCTGGTGGTGCCTCCTCCCTCCTTTCCAGGTGCCCAGCCTTTGAGGACTCACTGGGCATAGGTGGTTCACAAAGTATTCATTGATGACTCCTGCTGACTCTGCCCTGCACCTGCTCTACAATTCTAGAGCCGTGGTTCTCAGGTGTCCTGGGTGGGATAATTTGTGCCCCCAGCAAACATCTGCAAATGTTTGGCCACATTTTTGGTTGTCACAACACGTTGCCAAGTGCTATAAGTGGGCATCTAGTGGGCAAGGACCAGGAATGTGGTTACACATCTTGCAAGTGCTCAGGACCATCTCTGCAACAAAATTATCCAGCCCCAACAATGCCAAGGTTGAGATGCCTGGTCTAGAGCAGTAGGAGCTGGGCAGTTACATATACTTTAGATTTCTGGTATTTACTTTCCTGTGTTATATCTTTAATTATAACATATGTGTAAAGGTCTCCCCAGCAAGACTATGGACACAAAGGCAGGGTCTTTGCGTCATTCACAGGCCTGAGAGAAGCCATCCCAGCTTTGTGCACCTGGATGAGGGCTCTGGGCATGTGAGGAGACAGGGGCTGAGAGAGGGCAGAACGCTTTGCAGAAGACAAAACTGGCTCCAGAAGTGCCATGCCCAGCAGCTGAATGGCAGCCCTGAATTTCAACCCTGATGTGGCTGGTGGCATGCAGGCCTTGGGGGGAGCAGTCCTGGCTGTTCTTGGAGCATTTCTTGCACTATAATATCCCCAGAAGACTCATGCTGCACCCCTTTACCCATCAGCCACCATTAGTAGCAAACTACACAAACTCATGCTTAATAAAGTTCTTAGTTAGTCTGTGATCCCAGGTAGAGATCCACGCCCTTCAGGGTCAATGGGCTTTGAGTTGGCTATCAGAGGCCACCTCTCCAGGTGACAAATGGGGCCAACCTAGAAGCCCCAAAGACATGGAAATGTCAGATCAGATAGGGTTTAGAATAGAGGGAGCAGTGGGTAGCCATTCTGCACTTACCTGAAGCTTTTCAATCAGAGGTGAACTCTTCACCTTGATTTTAGGAGGGTGACTCGTATTGGGAGCTGGTTTCTACAGAACAAATGGACCAAAACAGCCAAATGAGTAAGGAGGCAGGATTCCGGCTGGGGCTCCCATGCCGAGGTAGAAGAAGAGAGAAAAGTTTCATCACTTTTCCTCAGTGACCTACTTACCTCATCTGGGCCCGGATGAGGCCGTCTCTGCTCCTCAACCTCCCTCATCTCACCACTAGTGAGATTACTTGAAGCTATGAATCAAAGGAGGCAAGAAAGACCTGTCTGGAACACAGCAGGCCCACCATACCAGGAAGAATGACTTTGCGGTCATTTTGAGGGAATGAACTATGCTATGTCTGAGGCAGGTAAGCGCTTCACCTCATGACCTTCAACAACATGAGCCAATGAGGCAGGGGGTTTCAAAGAAAGAAGGTAAAATGGCCAGCCATTTCATTTGTCACAAACAAACCAAGAAGTCACAGACCACAACTAAAACCCCACAGAGCCATTATTGAAATTCCTCCCTGGAACAAATGCTACTTTGGAAAATCCCATCCCCCATACTTTTTTTTCCATCCCCCATATTTTTAAGTTATCATTTCCCAAAACTTAAGAGTATTTGTTATGATTGAGCAGATGTTTATTGAGCACCTGCTACATCCCAGCATTCAGCCAGCCCTCTCCCAGTGGTCAACAGCTGGGCAGTATGGAGCTCACCACAGGAGTGCTGTGTTAGTCGGAGATATTTTTGTGATCGGTGTATGTCAGAAGCTTTGTCTGCCTTTGGATTTTATATTCTCTGTAAAGATGGGCTCCTACTTTACTTTTGCATAAAATCCCTACAACTTGAACTTGGCTGCACAGCATGTTGATCCTTACTTTATGAGAATGTTGACAGTAATAATAATAATAATGCTGACAGTGAGGGTGAGGATGATGGTGAAGAAAAAGGAAAAAGAAGATGATTTCCATGGCAAGGGACAGAAGCCAAGGGAGAAAAGGGTTTTCCCTAGAGTTCGGAGATGCAATCATATTTCCATCTCACCCTGCAACTGATCTGATGGTAAGAAGAATAACACCAATCTCAAAACTCTGGGACAGTTATTGAGTGGGAGGGCTGGATTTGGGTGATAAAAGGAAGGAGACACTCAGCTGAGCTCCTTGTGATCGCTTTAAGGCCCAACGTCAAAGGAAAGACGCTGGAGGAGGACAGTCCCTGGCTGGCCCCCCCCCCCACTTCTCAATCTGCCTTTGGCAGGAGTCAGATGGACGTGCCAGCTTCAGCCTCCACAGCCCAGACACAGACAGGGAGCTGGAATAAATACCTCAGAGTTCCTCCAGCTCCTAAGTGCTCCTGGCTTCATGGTTTTACAGGATCCCAGTCATCTAAGGAGCTCTGTCTTTAGGGTGTACAAGGAGCTTCCAGTGCAACTACGTGATCCTCAACTTCTGTGCCTCACAGAGAAATCTCTCACGGGCCTGTGTTATACTGCTCTAGGGGCTGTAGCAACGAATGTGTTGACAAAGCTCGCTTTATGTAGCTGCCTAACGTCCTCCCGTCCCCAGTTGACCACTATCTTCTGAAGTCAGTGGAAATTCACCAAACCTAGCCCTTTCACTATGAGTGAGTCCTGCCTGAACCACCCACGAACCACCCACCCATCTTCTAGAGAAGATGGAGATAGAATTCAACCTTCAAGGAAGAATCCACCATAATGGTCACTGCAGTTGCAGGGGTTGGCAGCAGGTGGCAGCACGTTCCTTGATATTTAACCAGCCTCTCCAGCATGGGGCGAACTTCTAGAAGAAAAACAGCTTTCTACCTTTGGGTATGTGTACATGTCATATACGGGATGAGATTATATATATACTTATAATGTCTAGAAATTATGGATCAGGTGGGAGTATTTCTCATTCCACAGGTTCTCAGCATAAGTAAGTCCCCTTTGGCTGGGCTCTCCAGAAAGAGGTAACTCTGGCCCCTTCAGCTCACCCACTATCTCAAGCCTAAGCAGGCAGAAGGAGGGAGCTGGGTGAAGAGGTGAGGTGAGGCCTCCCTTTGGCCCCCAAGGCTCTGGCCATGCAGGTGTATTCTGGGAGCACAGAAGTGCAGGCAGCAGTTTCTACCCAACTGGGCCAGACAAAGCTGGTTTCTCCTTTATTTCTATATGAAGTTCAAGGCAACAAAAAGTCATCAGTGCAGAGAACCAAAAACCTGTCACTCCAAAAACCTAAACTCCACTTGCCTGTTCATCCAGCTGTTCTATGATTAGCAGTCAGTGGTACCCCAAGGCCTGAAACCTGCGGGTTTATTTCTATTCAATTAACCAGACCCACCCTGCTTTCATTCCAGGGCATAAACATCCCCATTACTGATCTCCTGTCCCCATTTTACAAATAAGGAAGCAAGCTCAGGGGTAGAAATCGGTCAGCAGAGACAGCCTCACAGAAGAAGCACCAGGGTGGAGTGTGAAGGTCATGGAGAAGTTGACCCTCGATAAAGAGAAGTTGTAGGTCATGACATTGACTGATAACCCAGAAAAACCACAGGATGATGTTAGCACTTAGAAACATACACATGCCTCATGGAAAACAAACAAACACCTTAGGTTTTTTTTTTTTTTTTTTTTAAAGGGTTTTTACTCCAGAATAAAACTCTGTTCAGAGTGTCCGTGGGGTGGGGTACTGGGGGAGTGGAGGGGTTGGTGTGTGTAGGGGCCCTCTCAAAGCAGATGTTGCCCTAGATCTGCTAGACCTGCCGCCTCCCTATTTGACCAGGAGCAGCTATGAGCTTCTGCTTTAATCGATGGACTTTGCTGTGTCTTGGATTAACAAGGGTACATAAACCTCTGATCTGTCAAAAGATTTCACTTTTTAGGTTAGAAAGTGCATGAACGAAGGAGGTGGGCCAAGTTCACATGGATATCCAGTGTCTATCATCAAGATGCTAGTCCCCCAAAATGAAGGGGATGTTGGAATAGGTGGTTGAGGTGGGATTTGGGAACTGGCCTTTCTCTGGCTTGTTTATTTTATTTCGAAGCTGGCCAGCCAAGAAGGACGGTAAAACATGCAAATTCATCTCTGGCAGAGACTACAATGAAGGTTTTTGGGCTGCCTCGATGGGGCGTGAAAAAAACGGCCCTCTTTGCTACAATTAGCTAAGTTGGGTAGGTGAACACCCAGGCTGGGAGTCTATTACTGGCTATGATGTATGATACCAGAGCCTTCATTAAGCTGGTAACATTGGCTATTTATATCTGAGGGCAATGAGGCCTCCTGCACATGCTGGTTTTCTTCCAATGATGCAGAACAATAGTGAGGCTTGACAAGATACTGCAGAGACCCACAATTCTTTCACATTGCAATTCTCCCTATGTGTGCACAGTCCCTCTTTCCACATGGAAGAACACATAACTCAGATCTGGAGGAAAATACAGATTTTATGAGTCCTGAATTTAGTCTCTTTGGAAGGGCTCATTTTCTTTGCTAAAATTTCTAGGCTTGAAAAATGGCGTTCTCTTCTCATATACACCGGAAGAGAGGCTCAGTGGAGAGTAGGAAAGAGCCTAGTTTTCAAAGCAAAGGATTAAGAAGCATGAAGAAGATTCCTCTCTGAATCTGAAAAGGACAAATTCCCTGCACAGATTTCAAGGTCTGTCTATGTAGCTTCTGGGCCCTCTTCTGTAAGGAGAAATCGCTCACAACCACATCCTCTGAGCCCACAGCAGCACTTACCTCCTCACCATTCTGGCCCAGCTCTACTTTGGGGGGAAACAAGGGGAGAGAGCAGGGCGGTTTCCTTCTTGTTGGTTTACTGGCTGGTGTCTGGAGGGAGGGTGACATACACACACAGAGAAAAAGAGAGCTAGTCAGGCAATAGCGAGGGAAAGAAGGCAGTGGAAATTGGTTTTAGGAATGGTTAGGGATGATGTCTGTAGTAGAAAAGAATGGAGGGAAGGGACTGCGTGTTAGAGACTGCTGGCACGATGTAAATTGACATAAATTCATTCTATTTAATCGACTGCCCATGGTGACGTTCAGCCTCTGCTCTGCCTAGTGCTTTCCTGCTGGAGAATTCTCCTTTGCTTGAGATTCACTGATCTGAAACATCTCAAAATTACACCCACATCCAGAACTGCCAGCACTTTGAGGCCAGTACTATTTCCTTTACCCTTTCTGACATTCCTATACTATCTAGAAATCACGGACTAACTTTTCAAATTGGAAAGCAAAAATGGGCCCTCCCTGGTGGCATGGTTAAAGCACAGCACTATGAAGCTGTTCATAGCCACTGCAGCACGAGTTCGATCCCCAGCCAGGGAGGTGACCCCCAAAGCACAACAGACTTCTCCTGTCCCACCCGCTGCTCCCCTCAGCAGTGTATTTCAGTACCTCTGCCTGCTCTGCTCCCCATTCTGTCTCTGTCTCACCCTACCCCCAAACCTCTTGCCTGGACCCCAGTTTTTTTTTTTTTTTTAAAGATTTATTTATTTGTGCATACAGAAGTGACCTGGACCCCAGTTTTTGTATGTATAAATAAGTGTTAAAAATAAAAAGAAAGCAAAAATGAAAAATCACTCACCTGAAGCATGACAACTAAATAGCTGATACCTTTAGAAGCCATTATCACCCTGACCCCCTTCCTCCCCCTTCTTTCACTTCTAATAAGCCCCCCAAATCAGCCCCCCTTTTATACTGTTCTCTCTAGCAACATCCTTCCAGAGTTCATTGGTCTCTAGCTCCCTATCCTTCCTGATCTCTGACTTCCCACCCAAACGTGTTTCCCTTCAAATATCTCTCAATTCAGAATCTGCTCCCACCTTGCCTTGCTCAGGACTCTTAGCACCAGGGCAGGCACTGGGTGTAAGGACCGCTATATTCTGCAATTCATATCTGTGCAAAATCTAAGTGGATGCAAATGCATCCAGACTCTGATAGGTGGGTCTGTCAGCCCTCTGCCCCTGTGTTTCCTCTCTCCTGGCCTCCGCCTGGTGGGGAAAGATCCCGCCCAGGCTCAGCAGCTTGGAGACATTCTTCACATTCAGAGGGACCCCTCTCTGGCTTCTCTTCCTAATTTGGTAGCTACGGAGCCTCCCCCCCCTGACCTAGACTTCCCCTTCCTCCTGCCCCCTCCCAGGAGAGGGGCTCCAAAGGCCCCTGACTTACTTCCTTTGCAGTGGCCGCCTGCTCCCGAAACCGCCCAGTCAGCTGGGCCACCGAGGGGGGCGCCGAGTCATCCACGTTGGCATTGGTCTCTGCCATTCTTTCCTGGCAAACCAAGGGGAAACAAATGTTAATCCACTAATGTGGACCAGGCTCTGCTCAGAGTTGGTTCCCGTGCCACCCAAGCCATTGGTTTTGTGGCCACAAACCACACATGTGACAATGAGCTCTTTCATAGTATTTTGCATTCAAGGATTTAAAATAACACCTAGTCAACTAAATTTCATGTTCAGCGTCTCAACCCTGGGTGTGACTCTGGGACTCTGGAGAGGAATGGTCTGTGAGCCTGTCCTGGAGGGCTGCCAGGGGTTGGGGAGCAGTGCAGACTTCAGCTCCTCAGCTGTCAGTGACCTGGCCTGAAGCTTGGTGTTTTGGTGGCAATTAGGTGTCTTCTTGCTTGGTTGGACCAGGATTTGAAAGTTGGTGGTAGGAGGCAATTGGCGATAGAGGCCCTCAATTGCATACAATGAGATGAGCAAATGCCCTTTATTCAGGTTTATTTTCTTTTTAAGATTTATTTATTTATTTATGCATACAGAACTGGGGTACAGGCCAGAGGTGCAGGGGCAGTGAGAGGCTTCACCAGAGGCCGAGCAGGGAGCAGAACAGGCAGATCAATGAAGTAGACTGCTGAGGGGATCCGTGGGCAGGTCAGGAGAGGTCTGCCGCGCCATGTGGATCAGCTCCCTGGCCAAGGATAGAACTGGTGTTGAAGCGGTTTCAGTGCGTTTCATGGTGCTGTGCTTTAACCCATCGCTCCACCAGGGAGGGCCCTTTATTCAGTTTTTAACACATATACACATACCTTGTTTTCTCTGCTTAACTGGGTGATTTGGGCAAAATATCATTTGCAAATATTAATTGAATTCACAAATAAATGACATGAGAAGCTGGCTGCATAATGGCTGAGAACCAGACTGGATTCTATCACTCAGTAGATCCATATGTTAGGAGATCAGTGACCTTGGGCAAATGACTGGATCTCTGAGCTGACCTTGACAATAATAATAGTAGCACATCATTGAAAAGTTTGTTCTATGGATTAAGTGACTCCCTAGTAATGTGTCGGGAGCAGGCCTGGCAGGTTACAGGTGCTGCTATTCCAAGCTACACTGGGGTCTTCTTGAAAGTCCCCCTGATAGGTTTCCCCAAGCTGGTTATAGGCCTGGGCATGTCCCTGCTGTGCCCCCAGGGATGAGTCATCAGTTCACAAGGGCCGACCCTCCTCCTCCCCCCAAGATCACTGAAATGTCAAGATGTCCCCAGACAACATTCGCCCCGTGTGCTATACCTAGACACCACTCATCTCCATTTTTCTGTTTGACTCCTTGACATGCAGGATGAGACATGTGGGCTGAAATGTCCACCTCACTGTGGTCTTGTTACAACATGACTGATAGAAGCAAATGCCCAGCCCCAGCACATTAGGCTTTTGTTTATGTGACATTGATGACAGCACTTATTACAAAAACTGAAAGCTCCACCACACTTCCTGTCATCATAGCTAGCCTGGAACTGGGAGGATTTGGGCTGTGGCTTGTCTGAGAAAGTTCATCTCTGCCTTTTCCCGCAGCTCAGAGCCTCCAAGGACAAGACTTTTCCCTCCCAGCAGCAAGTCCGCATCCCTGTACACAGCCTACCACACCCCCAACACACACACACACACACACACACACACACACACACGCACACACACACACCAAGCCCTCCTTTTACTGCTCCATGATTTCCTCTTTTGGTGCTCCCTCATACCAAAGTGCCGTTGCTGATGCTTTGATGCAGCTTTCCTTGGAGGGGCTGTGGAGGAAGCAGACCCCCACCAACTACCACCTGGGCACAGTGAAGTGAATAGAGGCAAAAATTTTGCAGAAGGTTTAACATAGAAACATGAAGTCCCTTCTAACCGGTGAACAGGTTGTTGTGGAGGAAAAGACAGATCTTTCTTCATTGTCTCCTGCTGTAATTCATTTTCATCCCCCTTTCAGTCTAAAATTAAGTGTTGATTTCTCATGAAGCTGTAATAGGATTCACCTCTATGCAAGATGCCCAAGTCCCCATAACACTGAGGAGGAGAAGGGGCCCCCTGAACAGCGCCCACTAAGGAGACGTCAGACACAGTCATCCTGCCCGCTGTTCCCGCCCCCCCAACCCCCTGGAACAACAGTCTTGAGGGACAGTGTGTCAATTGAGCCACTCTTGGCAAAGGTGCTGGGATAATGGGTTTGTCCATCTGTCTAACTTCCTGCCACATACCCGATCGGTCTCTGTCTGTGGCTATTTATTGCTTAGGTCCCGCTGACGGGGCACTTTACCTCAGCTCCAAAGGCGCCAACCACTGGAGGTGCAGGAAGATGCATTCCAGATAAAAATAGAAGTGCGCAGGAGTCAGAACCTCCTCCCTAACATCCCTGTCTCAAATTGGGCTTGGCAAGGGGCTCGGAGCAAGAGGACATTGAGACTTCTGGAAACATTTAAGGCTTCAAAGTTGGGTTTGAGGAAAGCTTGTAATTGATGGGGGTTTGTTTTCCAGGAGCCAGGTGAATGGTTTCCTTCAGGTCTGAAGCCTTGTGAGGTCACTCATCCCTGGTCCCTCTCCAGACACTCCTCGGTCTGTGTGGTGGAAGACTGACCGACCAGCCCCTGCAACCCAGCGGGGCACACTGAAGTCCAGAGAGGGCAAGTCACTCAGGTAGTGAAATTGGAGAAGCCAAATGCAATAGTCCATGAAACGCTTGATTTTCATCCCGGAAATCCTACAGTGGACATCAGTTAAGTGGCACAATTTGTGACTATTTTGAAAATGGTAAACTGATTTAATAGTGAAATTATTATGAATCACTAGGCTCATAGGGTCGATGGAAATAGCAAAGCCTTGGGGATAGACAGGGACTTCTGGCTCAGCCTGTTTGAGGCTTGGCCTGAATTCCTGCCTTGCAGTTCTGGCAGGTCCAGCTACTAACTTCCCTGGTGGTTTCAACGCATATCATCTCAGTCCCTGCTGGGAAGCGACTCTTTCCACAGCTCTCTCAGGTCTGAGACCAGATTGGTAAGGCTGCACTGATCCTGACTATGTTCTTAGTTCTGACAAGGACTTCAGTGTCTCGCAGCTCCATGATATCCTGTGCTCCACAACCACCACAGGGCTCAGCATCTTTTTCCTGTTCCAAAGATGGCTATAAGCTGAACCTTTCATATAGAGACTGGAACACAGAAGGTCCCTCATTGACTGGCCCTGTCTTCCCCTCCCCCATCCAGTCCAGCTTGTGGGGTCAGGGCCTCCTCAGGGACACTGTCAACTCACAGGGTCCTGGCCTGCCTCATCCACACTCCGGGTCTTGACAACTGCTTTGACCTCTACTTGTCCTTCTTTTGGGGCGGTCAGCCTCCATGCCGCAAGTCTGTCTTCTGGACTTATCTCCCTTTGTGCCCTGTTTTAGTTGACACTTGTCTTTATTATAGATTGCAGGCCTCGGCTCCAGCTTCCTGGGCCTGACCTTGTTTACCACACCCTCCTTGCTACTGTTCAAGTCTGGTGCTTCCAGTCAGCATGGAAACCACTCTTGTGGCTTTGCAGAAGAGAGCAGAAAGTCATCTCTGGTGTTTACTTTCCATTTTAGGGGAATTCCTTCTGAGAACTAAGGAGTCCTGTTTTGGGACAGACAGAAACTTCCCACGTAAGATTGCCATGTTGAATAAATACAATTTGGATGCTGCCGACCATCCACATAGTAGAATCTTTGTGTACGGATTGGGGTTAGACTCCACCTCCCTCCCTGGGTCTGTCCCTGCTTCTCCATCCTCCTCTTTGGTCTGAAGTCTAAGTATCTTAGTAGTTTCTGGGCCATGTTTTAGGGAAGCAAAATACCAGTGGAGGACTCTTCATCGATAGCTTGAGAGAAGAGGTGATGAGTAGATTCTGCCTGGGGCTGAGGAGCTCGGCTATTGGCTAGTAGGAAGGTTCTCTTGCTCACAGTTAAAATCCAGAGTCTGGCAAATATAAGCTATACTCCTTGCTCCTTTCTCTTCACCCTTTTCTCTTCAACCATTGTTAAGCCATTGGAGCAACAGAATCAAAACTCCTTGGAATGTCACAATGATCCCAGCACCTTCTTTCTAAATCTATGCCTGATTCCTCAATTCACCCCACATTCAACCATGAACATCCTGGCATCATGAACTAGCAACAGTCTGGGAACCTAGTAGGCCCGTTTGTTCACCCATCCCTTGAGAGCAGTTGCTAAGTCCTTACAGCACTAGAAGTATTTCAACCATTCTCAAAACCCTCTTCTAGAACAGGAAATGGTCCAGAATTGTGAAGTACCTTGTGATTCAATGACCAGCACCAGAGTTGACTGGATTCCAAAACTTTAGCTTTTCCACTCCAACATGCTAACTTTAGATTGTTACAGGAAGTATTATTCAGTCTCATCAATAGCATTTACTATCCTAGGCTCTGGGGTATAATAGTGAACGGAACCCGAGTTCCTGCTCTTGAGGACTTGCAGCTCCATTGGGGAAACAACCAATATACACAAATACAAATATTTTGTTCAATGTTATGAATGAGATATAACAAGCTGCTTTATTTATGGGGGATGAGGGAAGACATCTCTGTCTTCCCTCAGGTCACCTGAGTTCTATGTCAGACTGGAGGAAAAGTGTTCTGAGCAGAAATGACAGGCGAGAACAGAGACTGAGAGATCAGGACACATTGCCCACAGGTGTTCAGTGGAAGCTCCAGGCTGGAGCCAAACACGGAGAGTAACCTGGAGATGATATTCAAAGTCACAGGCTGGATACAATCATAGGAAGTAAGGCGGGGGAGGCACAGGGGTCCACAAAGTGAGCTCAGAACTGCCTCCTGCTAGCCCTGAGCAGGCCACCCTTCACAAGGCCAGGGGCAGCTCCTGTCGTTCCCACGAGCAGCTCACAGACACTGGGCCGCAGATTGGAGACAGGTTGTGTGGGGGCCAGATGATCTCTGGCTTCAGTGAGAAACTCTGGAAACCACTGAAGAAAAGCCTGGAGTCTTCCACCTGGCTGCT